GTGATGAGCTGCTAATTGTGAGACGCGAGCGTAGAATGTCGAAGTGATTAATCGTCGTCGTCGTCCTAAGAATGCCCCAACAACGTCTGTGACAGGGCGATGTCGATTTGTGTTTTTTTGTTGAGATCATTTCGCGACAAAGTGAATATCAAGGAACCACAATTGAGGATCCGTTCGGATGATTTAAATTCACTGAATATAAACACAACACGTTGCGATGTTGTTTTAGGAGCTACTCTGTAATCACACGCAAGGCGACACGTGCAGAGCGTTGTTACATCACGTGATCATCAATCTCCTACGTCTGCACGACATGTTAAACACGTGTCAGTCTCGCTGTGTTTACGAGTTAAACATATTCACAGCTTAGTTCAGCTACAGCAAACGCACGAACACGTTGCTTAGATTACACACATCCAAGATTCTACAGAGCAGCAGAGCCCATCCGAGTTCAGCATGTTCAGCTCCAGCCTCTACGCCGCCAGGAAGCGCAGACGGCCGACAATGAAGAGGTAATAACATCTCATTAAGCCTCACGTCCATTCAATCTCACTTGCATTCATTCCTACTCGAATTCATTCACACTTTCATTCATTCTCACTTTCATTCCTTCTTACCTCCATTCGTTTTTACTTTGATTCATTCTTACTTATTTTCATTCGTTCTTACATGAATTCTAACTTTCAATCATTATTTCATTCATCGTGCAATCCACATGCTATTCTGCATCTGTAGCAGAGGCACACTCACAGCATGTCTAGATGTGACTAAGAGACACTCACAGTGTGTCTAGATGTGATTAAGAAACACCCACAGTGTGTTTAGATGTGACTAAGAGACACCCACAGCGTGTCTAGATGTGACTAAGAGACACCCACAGCGTGTCTAGATGTGACTAAGAGACTAAGAGACACCCACAGCGTGTCTAGATGTGACTAAGCACGCAGTAGCTCAAGGACATGGACAGCACTGAGTCAGTTTAATATGCTGTCTGTGGCAAAGTTTAGTCAAAACAATGTAGTCTAGAGGTTTATTCTATAGGTTTATATAGGATTAAAACAGTATATTCTAGAGGTTTTCCCAACCAACGTGTGGTTGTGAGAATGCTTAATTTTTACCTGTATTTGAAATCAAGGCGTGCAAACGTCTCCACCTACGTGTGTTCGTATGTGTGTTGAACTTCTTTCGCACCGTACGTACACCCACCGTGCTTTACTGCTAATACACAGCAATTTGTTTCGCTATGTCGGGTGGTGGAGGGGTCTTACGACAACAACAATTGGCCAGATAATTGCGTGGACCGAATCCAAAAATCGAACGTGAGTCCTCACGTTTGCTGCGAAATAACACAGCACACGTGATGTTCACTCTGAAGTTGTGGTCTTTGCAAGCCTTGTGTTGTATGTGTGTGCTTGAGTGTTTGTTTGTGCATGTGTGTATGTGTGTGTTGTGTGTGTGTATGAGTGTGTTGTGTGTGTGCATGTGTGTATGAGTGTGTTTGTGTGTGGAGGGAGCGGTACTGCAACGGGTCGTGCGCTGCGCTACGTACTGGTACTGGGCCTCCTCTAGTTCGACTCAGCCTCAAATGAGTGCCAGGTGCGATGTATGCAAACATCGCCACTGGGGAGACAAAGGCGGGCGCGCTGGTGCTGGCCACCCACCCCCTCGTGTACCGTGCCGGCATTCATAGGTGCTCGCTAACCGCAGTGTGTTCAGGCCAGACGGGGAATCTTTGTCTCTGTGTGTTTGTGTGACGAGCAGAGGGACTTGTTGAATGCCCAGGAAGATGAAATGCTGTGTTGGAGACACTGAGCTGGGCACCGCCAAGAGCCTGGGATCATGTCCAGGTGTTAGCCACCCCATGATTAAACTGGCCTCAGTCCTGGCCATTCATAACAAGCACAGAGACCCATAGACTCACGTATAAACCCACAGTCTTACACAGAGACCCATAGGCTCACATAAAACCCATCGTCGTCCACAGAGACCTATATATTCACATATAAACCCACAGTCTTATACAGACACCAATAGGCTAGCAAATAAACCCACAGTCTTCACACAGAACCCCATAGGCTCACATAGAAACCCACAGTCTTCACACATCCATTCCCTTCCACAAGCACGCGTGCCCGCACACACACACACTCACTCGCAGCGACATGCTGTGACTCGTTCCATCTCGCGGAGGATCGCTCCACTAAATAAAATAGTTCTTCCGTTGAGTTCGCAAGTGTGAATTCACGTCCGCAAGTCGATGTTTAAAAAAATAAAAATGATGAAAAAGAAGAATCGGCCTTACCCTTTCTGGCAATAAAGCAGGAGGTGCTAAATACATACTTCACACATCCTTGTGAAATAACATGCAGACAAACTTGCTATGATAATATATGCATTTTTTAATAAACTGATTGGCCTACACCAGAGACAGCCTTCTCCATGGCCTTGTCTCCCCAGCGTCAGACCAGAGAACAACGCCAAAAGTAGAACAGTGCAAAGGTAATGGACGTATCTCATGGAAGGTGCTTCGCAATTGCGGCTGTTCGCAAGCCGGCTCTTCGTAAGTGCGGTGTTCCTAAGTGCGGTGTTCGTAACTGCGGTGTTCATAAGTGCGGTGTTCGTAACTGCGGTGTTCGTAAGTGTGGTGTTTGTAAGTGCGGTGTTCATAAGTGCAGTGTTCGTAAGTGCAGTGTTCGTAAGTGAGGTGTTCGTAAGTGCAGTGTTCGTAAGTGAGGTTTTGTAAGTGCGGTGTTCGTAACTGCGGTGTTCGTAAGTGCGGTGTTTGTAAGTGCGGTGTTCATAAGTGCAGTGTTCGTAAGTGCAGTGTTCGTAAGTGATGTGTTCGTAAGTGCAGTGTTCGTAAGTGAGGTGTTCGTAAGTGCAGTGTTCGTAAGTGAGGTTTTGTAAGTGCGGTGTTCGTAACTGCGGTGTTCGTAAGTGCGGTGTTTGTAAGTGCGGTGTTCGTAACTGTGGTGTTCATAAGTGCGGTGTTCGTAACTGCGGTGTTCGTAAGTGCGGTGTTTGTAAGTGCGGTGTTCGTAACTGCGGTGATCGTAAGTGCGGTGTTCATAAGTGCGGTGTCCATAACTGCGGTGTTCGTAAGTGCGGTGTTCATAAGTGCGGTGTTCATAAGTGGGGTGTTCATAAGTGCGGTGTTCATAACTGCGGTGTTCATAAGTGTGGTGTTCGTAACTGCGGTGTTCGTAAGTGCGGTGTTCATAAGTGTGGTGTTCGTAAGTGTGGTGTTCATAACTGCGGTGTTCATAACTGCGGTGTTCATAAGTGTGGTGTTCGTAAGTGGGATGTTCGTAAGTGAGGTGTTCGTAAGTGTGGTGTTCATACATGTGGTGTTCGTAACTGCGGTGTTCGTAAGTGCGGTGTTCGTACGTGCGGTGTTCGTAAGTGAGGTGTTCGTAACTGCGGTGTTCGTAAGTGCGGTGTTCGTAAGTGTGGTGTTCATAACTGCGGTGTTCGTAAGTGCGGTGTTCATAAGTGTGGTGTTCGTAAGTGGGGTGTTCGTAAGTGAGGTGTTCGTAAGTGAGGTGTTCGTAAGTGCAGTGTTCGTAAGTCGGGTGTTCATAAGTGAGGTGTTCGTAACTGTGGTGTTCGTAACTGCGGTGTTTGTAAGTGAGGTGTTCGTGAGTGACGTGTTCGTAAGTGAGGTGTTCGTAAGTGCGGTGCTTGTAAGTGCGGTGTTCGTAAGTGCGGTGTTTGTAAGTGCGGTGTTCGTAAGTGAGGTGTTCGTAAGTGCGGTGTTCGTAAGTGCGGTGTTCGTAAGTCAGGTGTTCGTATGTGCGGTGTTCGTAAGTCGGGTGTTCGTAAGTGCGGTGTTCGTAAGTGCGGTGTTCGTAAGTGAGGTGTTCGTAAGTCGGGTGTTCGTAAGTGAGGTGTTCGTAAGTGTGGTGTTCGTAAGTGCGGTGTTCATAAGTCGGGTGTTCGTAAGTGAGGTGTTCGTAAGTGTGGTGTTCGTAAGTCAGGTGTTCGTAAGTGTGGTGTTCGTAAGTCAGGTGTTCCTAAGTGCGGTGTTCGTAAGTGAGGTGTTCGTAAGTCAGGTGTTCGTAAGTGTGGTGTTCGTAACTGCGGTGGTCGTAAGTCGAGGACTGCATGGCATCGACGTTGGTTGTAAAACCCTCGATGTCCCGTTGGTCCCGTGCCACAGATGCTCCCCGAGCGTTGCGCAGCCTTCGCTCTGCGAGGGGCTGAAGAGCAACCCCTCCAAGCGGCACCGCGAGCGGCTCAACGCGGAGCTGGAGAAGCTAGCGCAGCTGCTGCCCTTCCCGGACGAGGTGCGCGCCAAGCTGGACAAGCTCTCCATCCTGCGCCTCTGCGTCAGCTACATTCGGGCCAAGAGCTTCTTGAGCGGTGAGTGGAGCTCCGTGCGGGGGACGACGATCTGTGTGCACGTACTTGCGTGCAGACGTTGCATGTGCGTTGGACTTCGACCGTGCCGTACGTAGCCAACCGTGCGAATTGGAGGGGCCGCGCTGAGCGACCCACAGGCACACACCGACACCAATGGGCTCACGCAGAGGCCCACGTAGGTGATGAGACCATGGTTTCAAGTGTAGTCGGTCGATCAGCAGGCCACGCGTAAGGTGTGGGTGCTAGCACATTTGCCAAGACAGTTGGGCGAGCGTGCAGGCGTGGGCCCAAGTATTGTCAGGGGCAGGGCTCTTTACCTTCACTGCAGCCTTGGACCTCTTTGGTTCTCAATCGTAAACAAAACTGCATCATATTCTTGGTTCTTTCGGTAAAGTCACGTAGAAGGGAAATCATAAAATAATAAACATATAACGTGACTTTACCGAAACAACCAAGAATATGAATCCCTGCAGTTACGAAAGCTTTTAATAAAAATTTTTATCATGTCAATAAGTACATAGAGGGTTTGGTGAAACAAAGTAAGTTGTACTTACGTGCCCGTGCTTAATTTGTATTTCGACGATTTACCTTCCAAGAAATCTGGCCACGTCTCGCACCCCAGGGGATGCATCTCGCCCCCCCAGCAGCTTAAGAAGAAGCACTGCTCTAGGGGGTGCTCTCTAGAGCTCCCTCGAGTGGAGACAGCTCCACCGGCAGTGGCGTGAGCGAGCCGTTGCAGGGCTGCGCCTTTAGCCTAACAAACCACAACAATTACAGAGCAGTGCAAGTTCGATAAAGAACAAACTCAAAGGCAGTTTTCTTTATGCAGAGCCCGTTCCTTCGGTTAATTTATTTCTCTAAAAAATGCATTCATAGCTATAAACGATTTCTAATTAACCAGGTAAGGCCCACGGAGCTATATCACTCTTTTTCAGAAGCGACCTGGCCACAAATGATAGCTCAACCAGGTGGGCTTATCATCATCACGCGGAAATCTAGAGCAGCCAAATAGTCTAAACGCGTGCTTATTAATGTGGAGGGAAAACAACCGGAGGACCGGGAAAAAAACTATACACGGGACCGCGGGGAGAGAGATACACCATGCAAACTCGAAATATACAGCAGGCGTCAGATTCGAGACCGCTCCCACGACCTCCTGCGTACCAGGAGAGGGAGTGAACATCTCGCCGCCGCGGCCCGCACACCTGCTCGCCTGGAAATGGCAGCACAAAGGGGAATTGAGTCCCGGCTACCGCACTCGAGCCCACCATGACCACTTCCAGGGCGCCCTTTCGATTCCCCGCTTCGCCTCGGCTCTCAGCCGGCACCTGGGCTCGGGGAAACGCCGTCAGGTGCGCGCGTGCGGATTTGAGCTGCGTGCAGCGGGGTCGATTGCCACCAACACCAGGGACGGTTCCATCTGGACCGATCCTGGGCCTCCCCTAGGTCGACTCGGCCTCAAATGAGTACGTGTGTATATTCGCAGCCAACCGTGATAATAATCGGAGGTGCGGGAGAAGGACGACGAGCTAAACACGCAGAGAGGAGTCTTCAATCTAGAGGACGATTTGAAAGTGCCGTGTTCCAGTGGCGTCTGTAATGTCGGAAGGAAGAGCGTTCCAGACGGCCGCTGAAGCGCATCTGAAAGCGCGGCGCGATGCGGTGACCGCCGCCTTTGTTCGATGCTGCGAGGATGACCAACGTTCGCGTGATGGTGGTCGATGCTCGTTGACCAACTGGTGCGGTGTGTAAACATCGCAACTAGGGAGACAAAGGCGGCCGAGCGTGGTGTTGGTCACCCACAACCTCTTGCACTAATAGCACTTGCCCTCGCAGTCTTTTAACGGCTATATGGGGGATCTTTGTATTTGCAGTGGGGAGCGGTGGCGCAGTGGTTTGCGCACCGCGCTACAAAACCGGCGACTCGGGTGCGATTCCCGTTCACGGCCAACAGCAGTGGCTAAATATGTTAACTGGTCATGGGCCTACCCCTAGATCGACTCAGCCTCAAATGCGTACCCGGTGCGGTGTGTAAACATCAGTACACTGGGAAGACAAAAGCGGCCGGGCGTGGTGTTGGCCACCCACCCCCTCGGCCTCGATAAATCGCTCGCGAGCAGCACTTGCCCCAACACTCTCGTGAAGGCTACACGGCGGAGGTCTCTGTCTTTGTTCCCACTGCACGGGCGCTCTTCCTAAAGCGCTGTTCACCCACGGCACTCGCCGCAGTCGCCTTCACGACCACTCGCTTCCAACGCCGTCACAGCATCGCCAATTCACCGCCAGTTCACCGCCATCCACTCGGAGGCGTCCACGCGTCCGCCGAGGCATCGCCGGGCGCGTGGCGGCGTGCGAACGGTCTCCTCGCACTGCGCTCTGCGACCCAGAGGGGACTCCCGCGGTGAGATTCCATCGCCCGGAGAGGCACTTCTCGTCCCCCCTTCTCGTCCCCCTCTGTCGCCCGCGACCGCCGCAGCCTCGGCCGCCCTGACCGGCGGCACGGATGGGTTACGGCGCAGGTCGCGAGCGGTGTGGTCAGGCGTGGTTACTGCCGTCTCTTCCGACATGTATGGCCTGCACCATTGAAAAGTAAAACTACGAATACATACGCTTTGGTTCTTTCGGTAAAGTCACGTTGGTAGAAAAATAAAATACAAATATATATATCACGACGTTTCGATCGCAACACAAGCGGTCGTCCTCAGGCGGAAAAAATCATCCGGCAGTATTTTATTCTTCTACCTACGTGACTTTACCGAAATAAATTTCGATTTAAAGCTTTCGTGACTGCAGGGATTCATCTTCTTGGTTCTTTCGGTAAAGTCACGTAGAAGGGAAGTAATAAAATAATAAAAATAAAACATAATAAAATAATTCTCACGACGTTTCGGCCACAACGCAAGCAGCCGTCCTCAGGTGAAAACCAGGTCCGTCGAGGCGACAGAGTCTGAATGAAGCAGCACACGAGCTTGGAGCATATATATAAGCTGGGCGCATTGACAAAGGAATTTGCATATCAAGAGGAATTTAGCATATTCATGGGAAATGCAGGAATGTGATTAGTACTGCATATGCATGTGCATTATGCAGGATTAACAGCATCAAAGGGAGCTACAGTTGCAGCTGCTGCTGCAACTGTCGTCACAAAAAAGATCTCCAAAATCCTGATTAAACACAAGATCCAGGTCCGATTCAACACAGTACATAAAATCCGTGATCTGGTACCGTCTGTAAAAGATGTGGTTCCAGACATACAGTACCCTGGCGTCTACAAACTAAGTTGCCTCTGTGGTAGCAGTTACATTGGGGAAACCAAACGACATGTCTCGGACCGCATCCGTGAACATAAAGCAGACCTGAAACACGGTAGGACAAACACCTCAGCCGTGGCAGATCACTGTTACAACTCAGTGGGCTCACATGACATTGACTTCTCCAAGACAGAGGTTCTCTGCAAGCCATCTGGCTACCATGAGAGATTCGTTCATGAGGCGATCCACATATACAAACACAGAGACAATTTTAACCGAGAAGATGGATTCTGGCTTAGCAATCATTGGAAGGACGTAATAAACCATTTCGGATCTTAACTGATTGTGTTCACGTTTACGGTGACTTTCAGACCGCGTTCCACTCACTGGCATGGTGCAGTGTGCAGAGTAATGTATGGTGTCGTAATTGTATAGTAAATATATAGCAGTGTGATACACATTAAGGTGGGTAGAATAATACATAGTGTTATATTAAAAATGGATAAGGCAGCAACTGCAGCAGCAGCAGCAACTGCAGCAGCAGCAACTGCAGCAGCAGCAGCAACTGCAGCAGCAGCAGCAACTGTAGCTCCCTTTGATGCTGTTAATCCTGCATAATGCACATGCATATGCAGTACTAATCACATTCCTGCATTTCCCATGAATATGCTAAATTCCTCTTGATATGCAAATTCCTTTGTCAATGCGCCCAGCTTATATATATGCTCCAAGCTCGTGTGCTGCTTCATTCAGACTCTGTCGCCTCGACGGACCTGGTTTTCACCTGAGGACGGCTGCTTGCGTTGTGGCCGAAACGTCGTGAGAATTATTTTATTATGTTTTATTTTTATTTTTATTATTTTATTACTTCCCTTCTACGTGACTTTACCGAAAGAACCAAGAAGATTTACCGAAATAACCAAAGAGTATTGATTCCTAGTGTCACGAAAGCTTCAAATCAAGATACAAATATGAAGATGTTTTTTAACCAGGTAAGGGTCACTGAGCTGCTTTATAGCCCAATTCCAGAAGCGACCTGGCCACAAATGATAGCTCAACGAAGTGGCTCGTCATCATCGTCATCACGTGGACATTCACAGCAGCAGCCGAATAGTCTGTGAACGCGTCGTGTTGATTCTCAAGGTGGAGGGAAGAAACCCGGAGGACGCGGAAAAAATCCACGCGACCACGGCGAGAGAGAGAGAGAGGAGAGACACACAAACTCCAAATATACAGCAGCAGGCGTCAGGATCGGGATCGAACCCACGACCTCCTGTATACCTGGCGAGGGAGTTAACATCTCCTAGCCACCGTGATGATGATGAGAGAGACACACAAACTCCAAATATACAGCAGCAGGCGTCAGGATCGGGATCGAACCCATGACCTCCTGTACACCAGGCGAGGGAGTTAACATCTCCTAGCCACCGTGATGATGATGGGAGAGACACACAAACTCCAAATATACAGCAGCAGGCGTCAGGATCGGGATCGAACCCATGACCTCCTGTACACCAGGCGAGGGAGTTAACATCTCCTAGCCACCGTGATGATGATGGGAGAGACAAACAAACTCCAAATATACAGCAGCAGGCGTCAGGATCGGGATCGAACCCACGACCTCCTGTACACCAGGCGAGGGAGTTAACATCTACTCGCCACCTCGGGAGAGAAGTAGGCCAAATACCCCTTCTCGAAAACGCTCCACGGAGCTCCGCAGAGCCGGACATTGCAGTGCTGCGCCTCTGC